TCAAAGCTACAAAGAAACATCCACACTGTAGAAATTAGTCTTACTATACCACTATACAAATAAGTCTTTCCTCCCTTACTACTATTACTTATTACTAATATTATTACTTATGTTTTCAGCCTAAAGCAACCAGAGAAATGGCCTGTCAGACGGATCCAATCATCAGCAGGCACGCTTGTGTCCAGGCCAATGTTAAGCCCAGCAGGCGCAGCAAAGGTTATTTGTCTTTAACAGTCTGTATTATTCACTTGTACAAGAGTTTAATTTTACTTTGGATTCGCTGTTAGATGCTACTGTAACCATTTATTAGTGCTATTAATAATGTGTTTATCTGTGTTCTTTTAAACAGGCTTGCAGGTGCAGGCTCCACATAAGAGCGTCAGCGTTTCCTGTGATACAGGGGCCTTCATGGGAATCCCACTTCCTGAAAGTCCCAGAGCAGCCTCTACACCCTTGAAAAGAAAAAGGTGTGAGGTGTCTGCATCTGACCCCAGCTTCCATCTGAACGACAGTTCTCTGAACTGTTCAAGGTAAAAATGTATGGGGGAAAGAATGCTTGTGTATTATTCAAAAATATACCTTGGAAAATATTGTATTCTCTTAAATGGTTACATTTGCCTCTTCGTACATAATAGCGCTACAACGGAAGTCCCTCCACACAAAGCCAGAAAGTACATTGTTCATGAGGACCAACTGCTGTCGCTCTTTAAAAAATGTCCTGTCTGCACTCGTCGTTGTACAGTTGAGACAACCACATTGGGCACACTCCTCCGAGTGAAACAGCAGTGTCCAGCATGTGAGTACTGCAATGACTGGTCCAGTCAGCCCATGGTGAAGGATATCCCAGCTGGAAATCTTCAGCTTTGTGCTGCTGTCCTCTTCACCGGCTCGTGTTTTGGTCAGATTTCCAAGGTATATAAATCGTCTTATCTGTATTGACAATGTTTCCATAACAGTCATTTGGTAATATTACTTTATATTGCATAGTTCCTGAGGGCTTTCAACATTCAAGGACTGTCAGAGCAAACTTTTTACAAGCATCAGGCCAAGCTCCTCATCCCGACAGTCAGCAGCAGTGGAAGCTTGAGCAGGACGAAAAAATCAGGGAGGCATGCGTGCTGACTCTCCAGGTAAATCTTTTCTTTATAAACAAAGATTTTTATGTTTTAAATAATAGTTTGCCAAGTGTAATGTGCATTTCTACAGGACATTCAGCTAAATACGGTAGTTACACCATGATGAATCTGCAAAGTAACAGCGTCATTGACATCCAACTTATCCAGGTAAAACACCACCATGTTTACATTTGAACAATTAATTGGGAATCATTTGGCGCATTTATGTAGATAATTCTGTTGGATTTCAGAGCAGTGAAGTTGGGAACAGTGTAAGGATGGAGAAGGAAGGATTTATACGCAGTTTGACCATGCTGGAAGAGAAGGGTGTGAAAGTACAGACAATTGTGACGGACAGACACACAGGAGTGCAGAAGTACCTAAGGGAGGAAAAAAAAGACATCACTCACTATTTTGACCCTTGACACATGGGAAAGGGTATGTATTTAGAGTATAATTAACAGATAATATAGATCTAATCCATGTAATTAAAAAAAGTCATAGGAATGGGGAAGAAAATAGATGGACTGGTAAAGAAAAAGAGCACTCAGGATGTGGGCCAATGGAGGAAGAGCGTGGTGAATCACCTCTACTGGTCAGCCTCTACTTCCTCCTCAGGAGAAGAAGCTGTGGCCAAGTGGACCTCTGTAGCCAACCACATACAAAATCTTCACGCGCATGATAATGCCCTGTTCCCCTGCTGCCAACACGAGCCACTGGTTGGGGAAAGAGCAAGGGAGTGGCTCAAGCCAAGTTAGTAATGACAGTTTTTCTTTGATTATATATTTAGTTATCTTGGACATTTTGCATTTTCTTTCTAATCCAAAATACAGTTCCATTGATCATTTTATGTGTCGGCACAGCAGCATGCGAAAGACTAACGGCCATTTTACTGGCGCCGAGGTTTCTGAAGGACGTGGAGAAAATCAGCCCACTTTACCACACGTCCTACAATGAGGCATTTCACAGCCTCTTCATCAGGTTCTCTCCAAAAAGTGTGTGCTTCTCCTTTAAAGGAATGATGGCCAGGTAATGAATACCAAAACTTTGTAAAAGTATTTATTTCTATTCCCTCATTATATATTTTTTTGAAACTGAACCAAATAACATCACTGTTATAATGTACACATTCTATTGTTCATATGTTTATTCACTGAACACTATGCAAGATTATCATCGTTCTATTATAGCTTTTTTCTGACATGCCTACATGCCGATAAGAACTAAAATATTTTCAGAAAGCAGTGTGGCGTTCATGCTTTTGCTGTGACAGTGCCTAAACTTGCTCTCAGTCCATTATCCATCAGTATTTGTTAGGTTTTATTATCAACTGGTGTGTTGTGAGATAAATGTCAGTGGCTTGTGAGCATTCCCACATTCAACAACCAAAAACTTATATTATCTATGTTTGCATTTAGATACTGTACAATCATGGTTTAAATGCTCAATGTATATGTAAATATGACAAAGTATATTGTATATTTGTTAATATATTTTTTCCACCGGTGCACCAATCTACATTTGGATGCTTATTGTATGTACAAATATGCACGTTATAAGATCTGAAGGAAAAAAATTAAGACAAGCAATAAAAATCTTCAGAATGGCATTTGTGTTTATATTGATGTTTATTGGCCATGAAAATTCAGGACAGGGAGGAACCCCGTGTAAGCCACATAATCAGGGAACTCCAGCCTGATACGGGTCACAGCACAGGACGGGATCACGACTCTGATATGCTGGCCTAGGTAACCCCAACACCACCTGACCACATTTCGGTACGCAAGGTGCCGGTAATTACTGAAAGAAGAGATGTATCGGTTGTCAACCACCTAATTGTTAATCAATTATCCTGCAAAAACTAACCTGTGCACCATCGTCTCTGGCATGTCACCAAAGAGCTGTAAGTATGTGCCATACACTGCCTGCAGCACATATGGGTTGAGGGCAACTGCCTCAAACCCCGGGTGCTCCGTAATGCAGGTGTTTACACCCACCTGCTGACATCTGTGCATTACCTACCACAAATAGGGAACTTAATGAGGAAAATATGATTTGTATAATTATGTCTTATTTAATTTTATTCTTATTCCCTACAGCACACGTTCTCTTCTGGGGATAATGATGTGCAGTTGCCACACAAACACCTGTTGATGCAGAGTCATGTGTGTGTAACCCTAACCACAATATCCATCTCATTTGTTCTACATCAAATAAAAATATTAGTAACAATGCTAACACCAATGTACCTATCAGTAACGGGACCCATTCTGTGCTGCACTGATGCCTCGGAAGGCTCGTCAGTGCTAGCCGCACCGGTGGCCTCGGATAACAAGCGAGCCATCGGCTCAAACATGTACGGCTCAGGGCCGCCGGACTCCTCCACATTAACCTCCTCCACTTCCACCTCTGGTGATGAAGGTGGAGAAAAGTCCTCCACCTCAAAAGAGCGTTCGGTCGCGAAGCTGCTGTCACTGTCACTCTCCATAGTTACAAGAGAGCCGTCAATCAAAGCCCACGCCACGCCCAACACTAAGCCCCCCTTCTTGTCCCTTGGTCCTCCTGGGCAACGCCCATTTTGGGGAGAATTTTCAAATGTTCATGTGGGCGGAGTCAGGCTGGGCACTGGTGTTTAGTTGATCTTTAAGGAGAAGAGTTTTTTCTCAGGTGGGTAGTTCCCACCGAAAACACAAACTGTGTGGAATATACTGGACTCTTGGTAATTTGCCCCCAGGCTCACAGTCGATGCTTTCTTCCATTTACCTGGCAGTCTTGTGCAAATCAGATGACGTTAAAACTTATGGTTATGACTCTGTATTGTCCTCTTCTTCAAAATGTTAAAGTCCTGGAGCAGGATGGCATTTTTGTTCCATTGCTCGGCGAAAGTCTCAAAGGAACTATTCAAGTTGTGGCGGCAAATAACCTTGGTGCCCATGGTATTGCAAGGTTCAATGAGAGCTTTAGTGCTGGACACATCTGTCGATTCTGCACTGCGACTAGAGCAGAAATCCAAATAAAAGATGTTAGATCGGGTGCATTTGATCAGAGGACAAAAGAACTGCATGACTTGCATATTGACTCTGCAGAACAAAGCGGTTTGAGCCGTTTTGGGGTGAAAACATAGTGCGCCATTTCTAAACATCTCAACCACTTTAACGTTCTAACGGGGTATCCACCAGATATCATGCATGATGTGTTTGAGGGCATTGTGCCTGTGGAACTGGCTCAATGTTTTTCACTGCTCATTTCCAAGAAATACTTCAGTTTAGAGGATTTCCATAGAAGTGGTCCGACAAGACTAACAAGCCCTCTATGATTCCACACACATTTTCTAAAACAATTGATGGAAATGCACATGAGAATTGGACACTGATGAGAATGCTTCCTTTCATCATAGGGCATCTCATACCTGAAGATGAGAGGACATGGCAACTACTTATGATATTGAAAGATGTTGTAGAGCTCCTTGTTGCTCCAATACACACAGGAGTCTGTTACCTACCTTGAGTGCAACATTTCCGAGCACCGTAAACCATACCAAGAGCTCTTTCCCAACGTGCAACTTCTGCCAAAGCATCATTACGTCGAGCACTTTCCTGCACTCATCAGGCGTTTAAACAATGCGATTTGAGGCAACCGCATTCAACACTCAAATTGTTTCAAGAATGTGAGTCCTAGGAGTTATGACTCTGACAAAGATTTGTTGTCCTGTCCTGACTCCACACCTGTACGGGCATCTAGATGGCCTGTTGTTTTTACAGTGCCCCAGTTTCCGTATGATTGCGAGTTGCAGCTTGACAAAGCCAATGCAAAATATATAGACAGTGGAACTTCATTGAATCCAGATGTTGGACTGAAAACAGCCATTTTAGATGAGTCTACCCCTCAGACCATGAGTTTGAAGATGTCGCTGAAGCCCTGGTTGCATCCCATCCGTGTCAGAAAGAACCAGGCTCCTCCTCTGGCTATAGTGGATGGAAAGTGAACCTGAAGTACAAGTTTGCAAACTACAGGCATAAGCTGAAGCGGGTTGGATGCCCAGATGTTGAACTGAATTCCCTGACGAATAAACCGGCAGATAAATGCACTCCTGCTTATAGGGTCAAGAAACCGCGGAAAGCAGTAGTAAACTGCTTCCCGTTATGCACCGCTGGAGACTCTGCAGAGACGCTGGAAAAAAAATCGGAGAAAGTCTAATCCAAGAAGCAAGTAAGAGGGACAACAACAATTCAGTGACTGCACTGGTGGAGAAAACGTTCGCGCTCAGAAGGCAGGAAGTTATAAGATAAGATATTAATTCTAATCTCCCTAATTCTATAGAAATATTACTTCCTTGAGATAAGGCAGGAGGCCCTCAAGGCTGCTATTTCTCCATATTCTGGCCTCCATCCCCTTCTCCAAACAACGGAAAGGATTAACAGAATCTAGGAATGCAGATCTTGGCCCCCCAGATTAACTATCATTAACTCATATTCTGCACTTTGGACTACAATGGGAGAAGGGGAGACCAGGTCTTTTTGCTTAGGAAAGAGACAGAGCTCGAATCAGGGTCAGTCAAATTCACATTTGCTTTTAGTCTATATTTTAATACAACAATATACTTTATTGATCTCACAAAGGAGAAATTAACATTTATTCGGGATGCACCGCTGATTCCCCATTTCAAAAGTAGATGGCCAGCTCTGTTCTCAATACGCGAGGTAGGTAACTACAAGGCACATGTTTTCTGTTACTACAATATACCTTTCTTTTGTTAAACTAGTTGTTTCTATTCCAGTTCAGCCATATTTGTTTTTGTTTATATATTTTTCATTTCAGCTATTGTCTGAGTTCAAAAGGATAACCACCATCAATCGTCCAACCTGATGAGGGTGTTTGCAAGTAAAGGAGACGCTCAAGGGAAAAGAATAAAGAACATCTTAGTACCCCTAACCAAGGTATGATTATGTTGAGGAAAGGTGCTACCAGTAACGGATTGTTTATCTAAAAGCCTCTGACCCAAAGTTTCTGACCCATTATTTACCCACTTATAATAGCCAGCCCAATGCTGCTAGTGTGAGGCTGTAGACCCAGGCTTGTTGATGACGCGCTAAGCGGCTATGCTGTGGTTGCTCTGTTGTGCTCAATAAAATCCTCCAAGTCTTCAAAGGGTACGATGCAATAATCTTCATTTATTTAACAGTGCTATTAAAAGGATCCACAGTGGTATCACACGAGAAACAGTGAAAAACAAACTCCGCTTGTGCGGTCAAAAACCAATTTGCCCTTCTGGGTCACACCTGCACTCAACCCTGCGCTCATGATTCATATAAAAGATGAATGCGCCCCCTCATGGACACAAAGACCAATTACGCAAAGAAAACCACATATTTGGCTCCTATACACCGGTCCCTAATTGGCATGGTAAACAGTTATGGCAATTCATTTTCAAAAACAAAAAGGAGACAAATAATTTTGCTTTATTTTGTGACTTCAAAAGCCATGTACCAGACACAGTTGGCTATTGGCTTCTCAAGTTCGTTTGATTTTGTTTTGAGTTTCACGGATCGAACCAGACCGTGACTGTCTGGGAATACCTCCAAAATTCTTCTAAGAGGCCCAGGTCCCCGTGGGCCGATGGATCATAATGTCCACCACATACCCTAAAGCCAGATCTTTTCATTCCATTTCTGTCGCTGACAATAACGTATCATGGAGAATTCTGCATTATCCACCTCGTCCAACGTTAGACACACTCTTGTGGGCTCAACCACTGTGTTTGGGCGGCCTTTGGTGTTATATGCCACAGGACTTGCGTTCAATCCACTCGCTTGCTTGTGCTTACATTTTACTCTCTGGTGGAATTCCAGGTTACGCATGATTCTTTTCTTCGACCTTTGTATCCTTTGTTTGGCCACAGCAAGATTGTTTGGTAAGTGGACATTGTTATTTTTGAAAGGTAATTTCACACAGTATTTTCCATCTTGTAATTTTGCAGACAAGTCCATCATTTTTATAAACTTAATATCCTCTATTGATGTGTCTTGCTGTTCAGCTTCATTCTCACTAAAATCATAGTTATACTGTTTTACTTGCAGTTTCTCCAATTTGCAGACTGAAATCCTATTCACAGTCACACTTTGAATACTAGAATCTGCGTTTCTATCCAATGGGCCATTTACAACCCAGCCGAGCACAGTCCTAACTGCAAATGGTCCGTTTCCTTGACTGTTAACTACCTCCCATGGTTCCAGTAGCTTGTGTGCATTGGTTCCGATCAACAAGTCAACCTCTGAATTTATGAATGGCATATGAACCTGTGACAAATATGGCCATTTTTGCAGATCATCGGATTTAACCATGTCTTGCGTGGTGACAGGCATTTGTTGCTGTGTGATGACTTCTGGAAGTGGGTAGAACTGGGTGCCACGTAGTCCAGCAACCTCGAGATTGAACAATGAGAAAGCTGAACATTTTCTTGTCTGACCCATTGTCCGCAGACGAATGTGCGTTCGTTTTCCAGCTACATTAAGCCGATGCATCAACCTTTCCGAACAAAATGTCCCCGTACTACCTGGATCCAGGAATGCATATGTTTGAATTATGCAGTTCCCTTTCACAACCTTGACTTGAACTGGCAGCACCGGTAGCATAGTGCGGTCCTTTCCGGCCCCTGTATGTCCACATGTAGTGTGAGGAGTTGGTACTTGCGTCGTTTCCATTTCACCTTCCAGGGCACGTGTTTTGACGGTTTATGTGCAGCACTGTAGGATGATTTTGGTTACAGATTTCACATGTAAGCCTCGCTTGACACTCACGGCTGATGTGGCCTTGTCGAAGGCAGCCAAAACACACTCCCTTTCTTTTCAGTAAAAGCACTTTGTCTACGTGTTGTTTCCCATTGAACTGCTTGCAGTGTTCCAGTGAATGTTCCATAGAGCAGCATAAACAGTTTTTCTGGTTGTTCTGGTCTGTGGTTGATAGTGTCTGGCTACTTTCTCCATCGTCTCCATGTGTATTCTCGGTTACAGTGCTGGCCACCACATTTCCTTTCATTCCGCTTCCTGGTTGCGATTTGAAGGTTCTTTGATTTGATACACTTAAATTATAGTCCTGCAGATCACCAAAGAAAGGATCAGAAAGAATCTTTACTTGACGCTCAATAAATTCCACCAAGTCATGGAATCCAGCTCTGTATCCAGTAGACTCCATAATGTCATGTGCTCTGGTTCGCCACCTCTCTCTCAGTTTGTAGGGCAGTTTCACCAGGATAGCCCTCATGTTTACTGGCATATCCAGCTCCTGCATGTACTCAAGCTCCTCCATGATGTTACAGCAGCCTCGAAGAAAGAGGGCATAGCTCTGGAGTGCCTTTGTGTCATCAGTTCTTATATTTTGCCATGACATAGCCTTTTGAATATATGCAGTAGCGGTTTTGTATGGATTTCCAAAGTGGTCTTGTAATAGAGCTTTGGCCACAACATATCCACGGTCTGGTGGCATATGCTGGCAACTGCACACCAGTTCACGGGGTTGTCCCCGGGTGAATTGTTCCAAATAGTACAAGCTGTCGGCCACAGAGGCTTTGCTTTCCACACCTTGTTCAAATGCTCTTATAAATGGTTTGTAATGTAGTGGGTCACCATCAAAGATAGGAATGTCTCTTGGAGGAAGTGTCATGGATCGCTGCTGATTCATTAGAGCTGCAGTGATTTCAGTTTGTTTGCTCATAATGTTGAGAAGCTCTGCAGGCCACTGTAAACTGCTGTGTGATAAAGATTCATTTTGTTTGATATCCATTTGAGTTTCCATTGTGGGTTGATTGAGTTTCACTTGGTGGTGCTGTTGGATGATGGCAGGTTTTTCCTTTGGTCTTGAATCCATTATTTTACCCTTTACTGCTGTGTGGCGGACATTTTGATTTATTTCATTTGTTTCTGTAGCTTTGCCCTGAGGAATGAATGAATTGGCAGAAGGGTTTAGAGTGTTCCATGTTGCTCCTTTTAATGCTTGTGGCCTTTGCATTTGAATGTACTTGGGAATGGCGCTCCTCCTCAGCATTGTACATTTCCAATTTTGCTTCGGAGGTCACCAATTCAGCTTCCAAGTCCAACATTTCCTTCCTTCTACGAAGCTTAGCCTCCTCTTCCTCGATAGCGTGTTTCTTCTTTAATAATTTCACACGTGCCAGGATTGCAGCCCTTTCTGCTGCTGCCTTTAATTTAGCAGATGAATTTGATTTGTTGCTTTTGTTACTTTGGTAACTTCCTGCATTTGACACACTGTCTGCTGGAGTAATTTCCACATTTTCATTATCTTTGTTAGTTTCATTTTGAGAGAGCCATTGTTTTACAGTGGAAAAACATTCATTATTTGGGAGCATTTTAGCTCTGAACCATACTTCATGTTTGTCACCCTCTTCAGTTGACATTAAACCCAACAATGTCTCATGAAACCTCTTTGCATCATCACACACAATTCTTAATTCATCAACAGCATTTAAAAACCTTTGTTTTATCACACTCAGACATAAACTCTTTTAGCTCATTTCGAATGTTACCTGCTTTATTTAGTTTAGACTTTCTTGTATTCTGTAACTTATCTATTTTCTCAGCTAATGCCTTTTCAGTTAACTTAATGCTGCGCTTGTGACTTTCCACTTCATTATCACCCTGTTCGACATTTTTGTCCATTTCCAACATTGTAAGATCCAGTGAAAGTTATCTTCGTGTAGACGCAATAAAGTCTCGCGACAGCTCAGGTTCGCGATAGAGTTCACCCGAGGACACGACACGAAAGTAGGTCAAATAGTCACGTGATGGCTCCCGAACGCGTGAACGAGTTCAAATATATTCCACGGCGTTACCAATGCATTGGATTTAATGTGTGCACACAGAAAAGGCCTTGGGTGTAGCGCTACACATACCTCGATCGTTGGGCGCCTTTGTGTGATCCAATGTTGTCCAGCGATGATCTGCGGTGCGCGGTCCTGCAGCTCGGTCCTGTAGCTCGGTCCTGCAGCTCGGTCCTGTAGCTCGGTCTGCTCCACGTAGCCGCATATAACCGCAACCACCGCTCCACACCGTGGCTCGTGTACGGGCTCCACGTTTCCAAAGTCTCTTTGCGCAGTCAAATCGGCTGGTTTTTGACAGTATAATAGCCAGCCCAATGCTGCTAGTGTGAGGCTGTAGACCCAGGCTTGTTGATGACGCGCTAAGCGGCTATGCTGTGGTTGCTCTGTTGTGCTCAATAAAATCCTCCAAGTCTTCAAAGGGTACGATGCAATAATCTTCATTTATTTAACAGTGCTATTAAAAGGATCCACAGTGGTATCACAACATCGAGAAACAGTGAAAAACAAACTCCGCTTGTGCGGTCAAAAACCAATTTGCCCTTCTGGGTCACACCTGCACTCAACCCTGCGCTCATGATTCATATAAAAGATGAATGCGCCCCCTCATGGACACAAAGACCAATTACGCAAAGAAAACCACATATTTGGCTCCTATACCCAATATCCCCTACAGACAAGTTCTTCTGCTTTTCATCCATTTCTGTCGCTTCTGGAGCAAAGGTAAATACTCTCGCATCATCTCTTCCAGAACAGATCGGATAGGTATGAACCTGCTTCCATCTCTCTGAACTTCGTCCATACTGGGTCCTCCGGTTTGAAAACTCCAGGAGGAAGGGAGGGTTTGCCCTCCCTCAACAACAACAAATGGTTGGGTGTTGAGGTTCCAAGTCGGGCGGATCTTCTGACAGCTTCGTAATTGGGGCCTAATCATTTAAGATGGCTGCCGCTCACACAGAACTGTACTCAACCCATCATCATCCCGGCATTTGATTGTCTTTAGCACGGAATTAGATTTATCTCACCATGCTGAGCATTCTTCTCCCAAACACCACCAAAATGGGGAGCCTCAGGTGGGTTAAATGTCCATTGAACCCAGCCAGCACCAACATCCCTTTTATTGAGTCTTGTTCAGATTTTCAAGAGCTTCTTTTAATTCACGTTCGCACCTACAAAGTTTGTTTTCCATTATCTGACCAAGATGCTTTACTTGTCCTCTTCGGCTCATGAATCTTCTCAGTGCATAGATACAAGCATCTGTATAAGAGTGGGGTGCACCTCCAAATGAATGGCCCGACTGCCATACAGGTAAATATTACTCCATAACGTCTGCAGAACGATCTTCCTCGCTTAACTTCAATTGACCAAAATATCAACACCAGTGTTCGAAATGGAGGTTGGTCAGGCAGAAATCGGACTGCCAGGTAAGGTCTGCCATTTTCTGTTCCAAATGTCGTGCGTGTATCGCCTGCAGATGCTGCACTCCGCCAATAATCTCCTGCACAGCAGAGTTGCCTTTGATGACCCATACTTCCTTCTCACTGATGACAGAGTATGCATCCCGTCCTGCATTCCAAGATTTTATGGGCACTCTCTGGATGAGCTGTTACATGTTGATTCCTTGGCAAGGATTAAAACGGATGTTAAACTCCCTCCCATGGCACTTTTGTTTAGCCTGCCACCCACTCTCACAATCCTTCTTGTAGAGCAGGATCTAGAGCATAATTAACTCAGGCGACTTACTCTCTGTTCCTTTGTAGGGCATCAAATTCATCTTTGGAACCTCTGTCGCTGACAATAGCCGTATAATGGAGAATTCCTGCATTATCCACCTCGCCAATGTTGAGACCTACTCTTGTGGCTCAACCCCTGTTTAGCGGCATCTGTTGTTATGCGCCACAGGAACTGCGTTTCAATCCGTTTGCTTGCTTGGCTTACATTTTGTTCTCAGCAAAAGATTTCCACCGCAGGTACCAAGCCACTGCTCTTCTTAGCCTTGTCCCCCAGTCTGAATAAATATGTCTGCATCGATCTGTGGGGGTTGGAAGTGTCAAGACAGACACGTTCTCTGTGACCTCCCTTCTTACTTCCTGTCACCAGCATCCAATGACTCATTCACTGGTGAGTTTCAGCCATTTCCTCCTCCACTTTCCACAAAAAGTCCGGCCCTTCAAGCCATTTGAGCATAGAAAACTGCAAACCTCAGCCCTCGAGGACACGTGGTCTGCTGGATTTTCCTTTGGGCCGAAATGTCTCCATTGTGTCAGGGATAGACAGCCCCCGGATGGTAGCTACCTATTAGCTACAAATGTGTGAAACCGGCGGTAGATCAGGGTCTGTATGTCGTGCTTTCGTTGTTTATAATACTTCAATACGGACTTACTATCAGCCAATTACACTTTCTTGAAGGGCATACTCACTCTGCCTTGATCATGGCGTCCATTTTGGTTACAAGGACAGATGCAGACTATTCAGCCGGGAATAGTCACTGACTTGAGAGGTGCTACTCATGGCCTTGCCATTGAGAAGGGTGACATGAATGCTGTGTTCTGGTTTGCAAGCGACACAAATGTAACAGTCCCATAGCCTCTTTCACTGCATCAAAAAGTGGTGTAACTGTGCTGTTTCACAGTTCGACAAAGTCCTGGTGCTTGATACACCGATCCACTCCAAATGTAGCCAACAGTTCTAGCTCCTCTAACATTTCTTCCACCGCTGCCAATGTCCCAGCAGGGGATCAATCCAGATGCCAACCTCTTTTTGCACAACTCTTGTGGCATCATCTTTGCTTGCAGAGTCACTGGTTGCCAAATCCAAAAGGTCATACACTGAACGTTGACAGATAACATGCCTCGCCTGGTCAGTGCTTGATGCTTTATCTCCATCTTAAACATTAAAGCATCAGTTTCCACGCACCACTGAAACCAAGACCTTCGACGGAAACCTGTCAATGTCTAAATCCCAAAATCTCTATTCCTTTGCCCTTTGCTCTTTTAAGATTGATTGCCAGCACAACCCGACTGTTACTGGTCCACTTTTCCAAATGAAGCCTCCTCTTTCACACAGTGCCATCACTCAATTTATCAATAGAGTTGCTTCCATTTCAGTGGCTGGCTCTCAGTATCAATCATCAACATAAAAGTATCGGGACTGTTTCTACCGTCATACTGAGAAACTCTGATTGTGTTCTTTGTGCTGTTCTTTTAAGTGCATAAGATGCGCAGCTTGGTGACAGACTTGCGCCGAATAGATCTACATCATTTCTATAGTGTTACTGGATCTTGAAATGTTCACCATTTTGGCCACCATAGAAAACCAAGAAAATCCCCCGATCCTCTCTGGAACGCGCACGTGATGGAACATAGCTTGGATGTCCCCATGAAGCCTACGGCTGTTGTCGAAACCTCATGAGGACTCCCAGCAGCGTGCTTGTGAGATTGGCCTTGTAAGCAGTTCGTGTTTAAAGACACACCCTTTGAATGTGGCCCCACAGTCAAAAACCACGCGCAATGCTCCTTTCCTCGCATGAGCACCCCATGATGGGAATGTACCATACTCTTCCAGTGGTCTTTGTTCACTTGGTCTTCGGGAACACGTTTCTGCATACTTTATGGGCTATTAGTTCATCATGTATGGTTACATACTCTCTGTGGAATTCCTGGTTATGCAGAACTTTTCTTCAAACTTTGTATCCTTTGTGGCCAAGCAAGATTGGTTTGGCACTACCTCCCAATTTTGGTTCCATAAACTTAATATCGTAGCTTGTTTCAGCTTCTTTCTTCATTAAAATCAAGTTTACACGAGCAACTACCTGGTTCCATGTAGCTTGTGATGCAATGGTTCCGTGAACAAACAAGTCTAACCACTGAATATTATGAATGGCATCATGACCCTAGTGACAAGAAAAGTGCCAATTTATTGGCAGATCCAGCGGTTTAACCATGTTCTAGCTTGGTGACACGTCATTTGATAGTCTAGAGTGTGAGTGGACAACTGGAAGAAGGAAGACACGGTAGCCCACGTAGTCCAGCAACCACGAGATTGAACCATTAGAAAGTTGTGTAGAAGAACATTTTCCTTGACTGACCCAAATAACCTGCAGACGAATGTGCGATCGGTTTTACACAGCGAACAATACATGCCGAATGCAACAACCATTCCGGATCAAACAAGTCCCCGGTAACTACCTGGATCCATGACAGCGAATCAGTTTGATATATGAATCCGCAGTTGCCCATACACAACCTTGACTTGAACTGTGCAGCCCCGGTAGGCATAGTGCGGTACCGTATATCCTGGGGGGGGCCCCTGTATGTCCACAATGTAGTGTGAGGATGTTGGTACTCTGCGTCGTTTTCCATTTCACCTATCCAGGCACGTAGTATGACGGTAAAATATTGTGCAGGCACTTGTACGGAATAATTTGGAAACGATATTACAGCATTCACAAGTCAAGCCATCCGCTAGACACACTCCCGGCCTGATGTGGCCTTATGTCGAAAGGCAGACCAAAACCCACTCCCATTCCTATTCAGTTAAAAGCACTTTGACTACTTGTTAGTTTCCCAAAGCAACTGCTTGCAGTGTTCCAGTGAATGTTCCATCGAGCAGCATACAACAGTTTTATCTGGTTGTTCTGGTCTGTGGTTGATAGTGTCTGGCTACTTCTCCATCGATCTCCAGTGTGTATTCTCGGTTACATGTGCTGCGCACCACATTTCCTTTCATTACCGCTTCCTGGTTGCGATTTGAAGGTTCTTTGATTTGTGATACACTTAAATTGATATTCCTCAGATTCACCAAAGTAAAGGATCAAGAAGAGAATCTTACTGACGCTCATAAATTCCACCAAGTCATAGGAATCCAGCTCTGTATCCATGTACTCCATAATGTCATGTGCTCTGGTTCGCCACCTCTCTCTCAGTTTGTAGGGCAGTTTCAGCCATGGATAGCCCTCATGTTTACTGGCATATCCAGCTCCTGCATGTACATCAAGCTCCTCCATGATGTTACAGCAGCCTCGAAGAAAGAGGGCATAGCTCTGGAGTGCTTTGTGTCATCAGTTCTTATATTTTGCCATGACATAGCCTTTTGAATATATATGACAGAAGCGGTTTGTATGATTTCCAAGTGGTGCTTGTACTAATAGCCTCATTGTCGCCACAAACAAATCCACGGTCATGGTGGCATAATGCTGGCAACTGCACACCAGTTCACGTGGGTTGTTACCCCGGGTGTAATTGTTCCAATAGTACAAGCTGTCGGCCACAGAGGCTTTGCTGTTCACACCTTGTACAAATGCTCTTATAAATGGTTTTGTAATGTATAGGGTCCCATCAAGATAGGAATGTCTCTTGGAGGAAGTGTCATGGATGGCGCTGCTGGATTCATTAGAGCTGCAGTGATTTCAGTTTGTTTGCTCATTTTTTTAATGTTGAGAAGCTCTGGCAGTCCACTGTAAACTTCAGAGTGATAAAAGATTCATTTTGTTTTGATATCCATTTGAGTTTCCATTGTGGGTTGATTGAGTTTCACTTGTGTGGTGCTAGTTAGTGTGAAGCATGTTGGGGTGGGGGGTTTTTACTTGGTCTTGAATCCATAATTTTTACTTTGGTAACTTCCTGCATTTGACACACTGTCTGCTGGAGTAATTTCCACATTTTCATTATCTTTGTTAGTTTCATTTTGAGAGAGCCATTGTTTTACAGTGGAAAAACATTCATTATTTGGGAGCATTTTAGCTCTGAACCATACTTCATGTTTGTCACCCTCTTCAGTTGACATTAAACCCAACAATGTCTCATGAAACCTCTTTGCATCATCACACACAATTCTTAATTCATCAACAGCATTTAAAACCTTTGTTTTATCACACTCAGACATAAACTCTTTTAGCTCATTTCGAATGTTACCTGCTTTATTTAGTTTAGACTTTCTTGTATTCTGTAACTTATCTATTTTCTCAGCTAATGCCTTTTCAGTTAACTTAATGCTGCGCTTGTGACTTTCCACTTCATTATCACCCTGTTCGACATTTTTGTCCATTTCCAACATTGTAAGATCCAGTGAAAGTTATCTTCGTGTAGACGCAATAAAGTCTCGCGACAGCTCAGGTTCGCGATAGAGTTCACCCGAGGACACGACACGAAAGTAGGTCAAATAGTCACGTGATGGCTCCCGAACGCGTGAACGAGTTCAAATATATTCCACGGCGTTACCAATGCATTGGATTTAATGTGTGCACACAGAAAAGGCCTTGGGTGTAGCGCTACACATACCTCGATCGTTGGGCGCCTTTGTGTGATCCAATGTTGTCCAGCGATGATCTGCGGTGCGCGGTCCTGCAGCTCGGTCCTGTAGCTCGGTCCTGCAGCTCGGTCCTGTAGCTCGGTCTGCTCCACGTAGCCGCATATAACCGCAACCACCGCTCCACACCGTGGCTCGTGTACGGGCTCCACGTTTCCAAAGTCTCTTTGCGCAGTCAAATCGGCTGGTTTTTGACAGTATAATAGCCAGCCCAATGCTGCTAGTGTGAGGCTGTAGACCCAGGCTTGTTGATGACGCGCTAAGCGGCTATGCTGTGGTTGCTCTGTTGTGCTCAATAAAATCCTCCAAGTCTTCAAAGGGTACGATGCAATAATCTTCATTTATTTAACAGTGCTATTAAAAGGATCCACAGTGGTATCACACGAGAAACAGTGAAAAACAAACTCCGCTTGTGCGGTCAAAAACCAATTTGCCCTTCTGGGTCACACCTGCACTCAACCCTGCGCTCATGATTCATATAAAAGATGAATGCGCCCCCTCATGGACACAAAGACCAATTACGCAAAGAAAACCACATATTTGGCTCCTATACCACTGTTTAAAGTTATTCACTTTGTGTCTTTTACGTAATCTCAGACTGACTCCATTGATGTCTAGAGAGAGTGCCTACTTAAAGCCCTTTGCGTTTACTTGAACAAAGAGCCAGACGACCTTGTGGAGAATTACTCGGTAATTAAGTTTTGGTTTATGCATGGGCCCATTCTTTACCCGTATTACACCTGTCTCCCCCCCTTACAACCACCTCCCCCCTCCTTACACCCGTCTCCCACCCGCCTCCCCCCTCTTTACACCCTTGTCCCCCTTCTTTACACCCGTCTCCTGTCTCCCCCCTTCCATCCCATCTCCCCCTGTCTCCTTACACCCCTCTCCCCCTCACACCAGCCTCCCCCCTACTTACACCCGTCTCCCCCTCCTTACCCCCGTGTCCCTCCTCCTTACATCTTTCTCCCCCTCTTTCAGTCTCACCCCTCTTTACACCCATCTCCCCCTTCTTTACACCCGTCTCCTGTCTCCCCCCTTCCATCCCATCTCCCCCTGTCTCCTTACACCCCTCTCCCCCTCACACCAGCCTCCCCCCTACTTACACCCGTCTCCCCCTCCTTACCCCCGTGTCCCTCCTCCTTACATCTTTCTCCCCCTCTTTCAGTCTCACCCCTCTTTACACCCATCTCCCCCCTCTTTACACCCGTCTGTCTCCCTCCTCCTCATACCCGTGTCCCCCCTCCTTACACCCGTCCCCCCCCTCCTCGCACCCGTCTCCCCCCTCCTCACACCCGTCTCCCCCCTCCTCACACCCGTCTCCCCCCCTCTTTACAACCACCCCTTCTTTACACCCGTCTCCTGTCTCCCCCATCCTTACACCTGTCTCCCCCCCTACACCTGTCTCCCCCCTCCCCTTACACCCGTCTCGTATGATTCATGTTTGTATTCTTTGTAGAACTGTGAAGACAGTGCCGACGCTATGATGGAGACGATAGTGGGAATCTTTGTAATCCGCAAAGAACAACACTGGGACGAAGAGCCAGAATGTGTGGGCATCATCATAGAAGGTGTGGAAGTTTTGACTGACCTGTGGGATATGCCACTTGCAGTCGATAGGTTAACTGAATAAACAAGTGCCAGCAATATAAGTTACCCGCCCAAGTTGAAATACACGTTTGAGGCTATTCAAAAGTTAATAATGGAGCTAGATGGAAATAGACCATCTAAGAAAATCCAAGCTCTTAAAACACAACTTGCACGTTAGTTAGTCAATATAGGCACTCACTCACAAGCATGACTGTTGCAAGTGGACATCACTTGGTGGGTGGGTGCTTTAATATTTATGGACATTTATCATCCCTCATGGATCAATACTTGTATTCTATATTCTTTGTTTGAACTGTTTGATTCTGTGTTTTAAGTTTTGTGAGATTACTGTTCTGATTTAGGGATATACAAGGGTGAATTGAATTGCTTGTATTGAGTACCACTACATGAATGTTTTCGCTAAAGACATACAGCATAATGGGGAGCACCTAGCTCTAAATTTTTTTTACAGCATATGCGCACAATTGTATTCTATAAAGTTTTACGTGTTCATTTTTTTTTTTACAGTTTTAAAAAGGTACACTGTGTAATATTTAGTGCCATCTAGCATTGAGATGTTATATTGCAGTCTACCAATGTACGGTGGCCTTTGAGTTGAGGAGCACTGTCAAAGACAGAGCTCTTCGACTCTCAGTTGTTCACCAGACTGCCAAGGAAAGAATACTTTAGTTTGATAAATGACCGGATCTCTCCAAACGTCTCAGGCACTTGACAGACGCGTGGAGACAACTAGTAAACAAGCCCGCATTCAGACGCAGCACCCGCTGCACAGAGGCTGCACTGCACTGAGTTTTACCATGGATCTATTATAATATATAGTTTTACAAATGCGGGGTGAAGAGAAGAGACGTACGGAGGAATAACGTCTGTGGGAGCTTAAAACAACGGCAATCAAAGAAGCAGGAGATATACACAGCTGCGGCAGGACATGGCAAAGCTCATGTTGGCATTAAAGTTCGCCACATCTGCATCACTGTAAGAAACAGAACATTCACTCACGCTGCTGAAAAAGTATTCTGTGATAGTTTTGTGGGGATTCTGTGTGTGTTTTATTTGAGGGTTTTTCCTTGAATAAGTTTATTTGAAACTTGTGACAGTAGTTGGACTGCTCTCGGATCAGGTCAGAACATCCTGAGACTGTTGCAGATTCTGCCTCGTTCTCATTATTGTCAGTGCAAAAAAGTTACGTATTGTTCACGTGTGAGTCTGTTGTGTACAAACTACACAATGTGCCTCCTGTTGTGTTAACGCTGTCTTTGTGCGTGTGGTTTGCGATGTTTACACTTTGCTGCTATGACACTGCATAATTATTTTTCTAAAAGATTGTTGTTCGGGTTGTTCTCTTCCATAACTGTGAACTCTGTGGTTCTTTTATATAACTTTGGTCCTTCATGGTTCCTTCTTCCAACTTGTGAAGACACGGTAAAAGCAACAATATCAGTGGCTCATGTGAAACAAAACGCGATTCTCGTTTTTTTTTTTCCCTTTTCCACCACCGGTTTCCAAGATGGCGCATTTACACGGAGAGGACCCCTCTCGCAAGGACACTTATAAGTTAAATTCTAAGCCTATGAATACAATTGAAAAAAAAAATGGTGGAGGTAAATATTCTTAAAAAGGTCACATTTATCATTAGTTAACATGTGTTTTTATAAGGAGCAGCTGTAAAAATTACACAGGGTGGCTTTAAATAAAATTGTTTTTGTAACAAGAAAAGCTTGCGTTTTCCATCCCTTATCCTGACACCAGTTATGGGTAAATATGTTGACATTGGATTTCGCAATACTTTGCTGGCTTTGTTGTATCCACACATGGGGAAATTTGCTGTGGAACACTACAATGAAATCAGTTCACCTCCCACATTTTTTTTGAACCGTGGATTTGTTATGCACACTTTTATATTTCATGTTGACCCAACACCATGTCATGTGGTGCAGTCATCATAACTACTTCTTGCTAAATAAACACACTATGTACATGTTCACCTAACAAGTTGTTATAGTTGGATCAAACCAAAGTTATATTACACAAACCAAATTACACCATGTTTATCTTCACATGTTGTCAAGTCGACATAATTAATTATTTCTATAGAAACTAGGGCTGGGCGATAAAACGATAACGATATATGTTGCGATAGACATGTGTTCGATATCAATAGAGAACGGGGTCGATAGAACTTCGATAGTTTCACTTCAGTCCATTCGAAAAAAACAGGAACAAAACACAGGAAGTAAAGCAGAGTCAGAAGCGCACAGCATTCTGGGGGATGTAGGCAAAGGCTTCTCGACCTATCACAGCCAACTACAAACCGCAAAACTTTCTGGGAAAAGCAAAAAAACAACCGCACCATGGGTAGAGTCCATGGATCATGGATCTATTATAATAGCATGGAACAGCATGTGCGGCGCGGGAGAGGCAGTGGGTACAGAGACTCGATGCATTTGGCAAAAGCAAGTGATTAACTTTTTCCAGAGCCGTCACGGGGACACAAGACACTCAAAAACAGCCAAAACAGGAGCTAAACCAGGATTAAACCAGGACTAACTATGGGGGAGACTGCTTGTGAACATTTGGCTCCAGCCTCATTCCCCCGTGACTGTAAACAAGGCTGCTAACATGTGTTAGCCGACACGACAAATGTATTTATTTACGTTTTTAAAAATAAATAAAAACAATCAATATATATCTATTGACCGATATGAATTACTTATATTGTGATATAGTTTTCAGCCATATCGCCCAGCCCTAATAGAAACGCATTTTCTTTGGGTGGAAATTATGTCCATAATTTTATTACGTTCATTTAACAAGTTATTTTTTTGAGAGAAGAGTCCTGGTGGTTCCAAACTTCTTCCATTTACGGATGATGGAGGCCACTGTGCTCATTGGGACCTTCAAAGCAGCAGACATTCTTCTGTATCCTGTTTCGGAGGTCTACATACAATTCCTTAGACTTCATGCTTGGTTTGTGCTCTGACATGCACTGTCAACTGTGGGACCTTATATATACAGGTGTGTGCCTTTCCAAATCAAGTCAAATCAACTGCATTTACCACAGGTGGACTCCAATGAAGCAGTAGAAGCATCTCCAGGATGATCCGTGGAAACAGGATGCACCTGAGCTCAATTTGGCGCTTCATGGCAAAGGCTGTGAATACTTCTTCTTTTTTTCTTTTTAATAAATTTACAAGAATCTAAAAAAAACATTTTTCATGTTGTCATTATGGGGTGTTGTGTGTAGAATTGTGAGGGAAAAAATTTATTGAATCTATTTTGGAATAAGGCTGTAACATAACAAAATGTAAAAAAATTTAAGCGCTGTGAATACTTTCCGGATGCACTGTAACAAATGGACACATAATATCAGCCAATACTGACCCAGGGAATTATAAAATGGTTGTGCTTGATATTTGACAAAATTTAAATTATATTGGGCATGAAGCTGAACAAAATAAATATGATATATAAAATGGCCTAACTTTGATGTAAACAAGCAAGGTTATTGGGCTGTAGGTGCAGGTTTTGCTTTGCTGTGACTTTAAGGACCAGGAAGTTCTGCTCTCCCAAAACTATTAAGATATTTGGGAACCTCAATTTTTGAAGAAAATCATGAAACATGTATTATCAATTTATAATTACGATTTAATTTCTTGGCTTAATATTGTTTGGTAAAATGTGTCCTGCAGACTCTGAAAATAGACTCTTTAAGGTTTATTAACATTCTCAGGTAGAATAATCCAAATCATGTGAAGCGTGGTGTGGATTTTGGTCGCAGAAGAGCATCAGACGACAGACTTTCTCCTACAAAATACATTCATGCAAAACTCAATGGAAGTGGAATATTTGATTTGATTTATTCATAGTTCTCCTCATAAAACATTTTCTATTTCAACTTTTACTGAGACAGAGCGAAGCCTCCGAGAGCCTCTGTGTTTTCTCATGCTTTCACAGATTTATCCTGTGTCCGGGTCATTACATTTGTATTTCAATGATGTTTCAATCATCGGAAAACCAAGTAAGATCTGACTTTGATTTACCAACTTTAGACTTCATCATTTTAGAAAGAAAGTGTGTAAAAAGTGTCTATACAGTATTGTTATTACTCATAGGATGGATGTACTAACGACAGTAGTGTCCTCCGAAAAGGCCATAGACCAGGACCAGTGTTTTTCTTTCTTAAATAACCTGAACTTTCTGAATAAAGTTACTACATTACTACTTACTTTTGTGTTGCTGTTATTATGCTCGACTTTGTACAGGACTGTTCTTAAATTTGTTGTGGAAGTTCTACCATGAAGATCATAAGAGATATTTCTTTCATGTTTTTTCTCAAAAACGCCACAGAGCACGTGCCATGGGGTTGTTGCCATGAACACAGCTCTCACTCGGAGGAATCGCTATAGGACAGGGGTCTACAACTCAAAAAGTTCAAAGAGCCATATTTGAACAAAAATACAAACAACAAATCTGTCTGGAGCCGCAAAAACTTTCCTGCCTTGTATAAGGCTTATGTGAAAGCAACACAAGCTGTAAGCTGTATTAGCCTACTATCAAAATGAGTAAGTATAGGCTACATAATATGCATTCATGATTATTATATGTATTATCACCGTAGTGCAAGAGAATGACGCAGCATGTGACTACTCTGCTATATGCTTTAAGTTTAAACTTTCCTTTTGTTGCGTTTATGCAATTGTAGAAATACAGTAAATAAATCCGCTTTTTGGCTCAGAGTTCACATACCTGCATTACAGCACTTTCTGTTCATATCGATCACGTCACACGTCGTCACAGGCTGGAGTTTGCTGGAGCTGAACTAAAGT